ATTATAAAAAAAGTCTTATTAATATAACTTGGCTTCTGATTTTTTAGAATAAGTTAAAGAAAGCTTTTATAATTATAATTTAGAGGTTCTTATAAATATCTAAAAAGTTCTTTCTTTAGAATAAGTATTATTTAATACTTACTATATCTATAATAGCTAAGGAAAAATATTTATTATAAGATAAGTAAATAGATTATCTTATAGATTTCTTAATTATAGAATTAGTTAAGAAATAAGATATAGGAAAATGCTTTAAAGGCTTTACTATTATAGCTAAGGTAATAGGAATATCTATAATTATATTACTTAATAAAACTAAAGATTTCTTGGTTTCTCGAGTTTTTAAATTAAATAATTATAAATATCTAATTTCCTATATATAAATATATGCGGCTACTAAAAAAGCTATAGTACTAGCTTCTTTATCTAAATTTCTTCTAGATATTATCTAGATAACTTAGAGAAATAATTCTCGATATTAGAATATTATAAAATAGAGGCTTAGTAAGAAAAATACTAAAGAAAAAGAAATTTGGAAAAATAATTCGGGCCTATTTAAATACTATTCTAGAATTATTATATCTAATAATCCCGCTTTATATTAAGAAATCATAAAGCTTTATTATAATAACCTAATAGCAGGATATTATAAAGTAAAGAAAACTCTTGAGCTTCTTAAAAGGTCTTAATATTAGAAGAATATAAAAGGAAATATTTGTAATTATTATTAAGAATATAATATTTACTAGAAAGTTAAGATAAAGAGGCATTTGCTATATAGTTTACTTAGTAGTTTACTATAGCCTAAAAGACCCTGAGATAAGATCTCTATAAATTTTATTATAGGTCTATTATTATATAAGAACCTAGTAAGAAGTCCCGATTTTAATATAATTCTTATAGTTATTAACTAGTATTCTAAAATAGTAAGCTATATTATATATTATAAGACTATTAACTTTCCGGAGCTTATTAAGATTATATAGGAATATGTTTTCTTAATCTTTAGCTTTTTTAATAAAATTATTTCTAATTAAAGAATAGTATTTACTAGCTAGTTCTAGTTTACTTTTTGCTTTTATTTAATATATAAATAGTATTTAAGTATAACTTATTATTCTTAGATAAATAATTAAATAAAAAGGCAGAATTAGATTTTAGAATATTACCTGAGATATTATTATAATACTTAAAAGAATAACTAGTTTAAGAAGTTATTTTTTATGGAATTTATATATAATAATTCAAAATATTAGGTTTTATAAAATATATCTTTTTATATATATTATAGATATTATTTTTAATTTCTATGAAATCCTGAGAATAGAATTATAAAAAAGATACTAGCTATATATAAGAGGCTAGAAACTTTTAAAATAAAGTAAAAAAAGCTTAAAGATTTATAATATTATATATAAAATAATTAGAAAACCTATTATAATAAATACTAATTAGCTAAATATTATTTTAAAAAAGCCTAGATAATACTATTAATAAAGAATATTAAACTTAAAATAGAAAAGCTTAAACTAAAATTTATAGGTCTATTTAGAATCCTTAAATATATTAGTAATTTAGTATATAAATTAGAATTACTAAATATATATAATTATTTATATTTAACTTTCTATATTTCTTTTTTTAAATAATATATAATAAAAAGAATTAGAAGCTATATTTATATTTCTTTAGAGAACTTCTGGAATTAGTAAATAATAATAAAAAATAAGAATAGGAAATAGAAGTTATTATTAATTACTAATAAAATAATAAAAATAAAAAGTAATAGTATTTAATTAAATAAAAAGCCTGGCCTAAAGATTATAATATCTAATTACCTACTTTTTCTAATCTTAAAAATTCTAAGGAACTTCTGAAATTATATAACTAAAACTATAGCTTAGAATCTAAAACTATTTTTTAATAGTTTCTTAAGATTAAAAAGAATTCTGGACTATTAAGAAAAAGGCTACTTAAAAGAAAAAGAGGATCTAGATAGTTAAGAAAAGGCCCGGAATAATAATAAAGATATTTTTTCTCTAGGGTTTTTTTATTTATAAAGGTTTTCTAGGGTTTTATTAAGGCTTATAAGAATTATATTTAAATTATTAGAAAAAGATTTAGGATTAAGAAAGATTTATTATAAGTAAACTAGCTATAAATATCTTAAATAAATAAACTCTAATTCTTATAAATTCCTAATTCCTAAAGCAAGAATACTAAATACTAGCTCTATTTAGGACTTAATAAAGAATTAGCTAATATTTTCCGGAATCTGCTTATTTCTTAATAAAATATAGTTATATTATAATAATATTAGTATTAAGGATATTAAAAAAGGCAAGTAAGGAACTTATAATAGCTATATATATTTTATAGAAAGCCTAAACTTCTAAAGTTAAGTCCCGAATAATTATAAGTATTATATTATTAGTATTTAAAATACTAATAGTAAACTATTTAGTAATCTCTATAATAAGCTTAGTAATAAGATTAATACCTTAAAAATAAATATTATAATATTTCTTTAAGAAATTAATAAGTATCTAAATATATTAGAAAAAACTTATTTTTAGGATATTAACTTAAATAGTATTATTATTTATCTTATTAAGATAAGAAAAAGAATTCCGAAGCTTATTAGTATTCTTTTAGTCTTTAAAAACCTAATTAATAATATTATTTAGGATATGTTTTAAGAAATTTCTTAAAGATTATAATAATATCTTTCTAGAACTAGTAAGTTTCTAATAAGTAATAAGAAATCTAAAATTGTATTAGCTTTAATAAATATTAAAGCTAAAGAACTTACTAATATATAAGACTTAGAACCCTTATTATAATAGTTATAATTCTTCTTACTAGGTACTATAGTATATAAGGTAAAGGAATTAATAAATAAATACTTAAAATATTTCAAGTATTTACTAGTAATAGGAAAAGAGGCTATAAAGTTATCTTTATACTTATTATTATATAAATAGATAATAAAGCCAGAAAAAGATATTATAGAATTAATTAAAAATAATTAAAGAAAACTTGGAAAAGAATAAAAGAAGAGGCTAGAAAGTAATAATAGAAAAAGTTATTATATATATAATTATTAGAAAGGAAGAAAGTATATAGTAATATAAAGAGATCCTTTTATAGAAATAGAGAACTACCTGGATTAATTACTAGTTTTCGTACTAGTCCTAATCGGAAATTAGTATAACTAATTAATATATACTTCTAGAAGCCTATAAATAATCTCTAGGACTTCAGAAATATTCGTATAGGTTTCTTATATAAATATTTATTAAATTCTTTCTATATAGCTATTTAGATTATTCTAATACGAGGTCTAATAAGTAGTATTAATTTCGTAGGATAGCGCCTTAGTATTTTGGATTAAGCTAATTAGAATACTCAGATCCTAAACAAAATCATAATTACCGGCTAGCTCCTATATCTGGGATATAATTACTCTTTCTTTTTACTTACTTAGCCCTAATTTAATTAGATGATTTTTATATCTATTACCTAGATTATATTAGTAAACCTATCTCTCAAGATACTAGAAGTTTATCTTAATTAAATATATAATTAATTAAATGTTTTACTAGGATAGATTAATAGATCTTGGGAATAAGATCCTAGGAGGGGAATATAGTTATAATATATACAGGATTATATGTAACTTAAGGGCATATAACGAACCTCGGATATTACGGGTATTAATTAGGGAGATTAAAGGCCCTTTAATATTATAACTAATTACTATTTATATTATAAGTATTAGGCTTATAAATTACTAATTATATATATGTTATTGGGGCCTCCTATTTAGAGGGAGCTTCCCTGGACCTTATAGGAGAAATAGAGATTAGTTCTATACTAAATTTAATACTATGGTTTCATAACTCACTAATTTATTCTATTGTCTTATTACTTACTAATAAATACCTTATAATTACAAATTATTACTATTTTCTTATATTACATTTAAAAAAATTATAAAAAATATAAATTATAAACTTTTTTATTTATATTTATTTATAATTTAATAGCTTTTTAAAATATTGAAATATAAAGTATTAAATAACTTAATTTAAATAAGTTTTCTATTTCAAAATATACTAAAGTATATATAAAAGCTAATAAACCTTTGAATTTTTAATTTTTAATTCATAATACTAAATTTAGTTATTTCATTATATTTTATTTAAGAAAGTTAGTTTATATCTTAATTATTTGTATAATTATTAAATTTTAAAAGTTGTGAGTTTTCGCGATTTTGTATGTAATTCGCCCGTGCACGTAAGCGGGGCGTGCATTTAAGCAGGAAATCGAGTAACGCGATGGCAAAACTTATAAGACGGGTTTCTAAGATATTGACTTTAGTCACCTTCGCTTTCTAATCTAGCATTATACTTACTTAAACGGTTTAAAGCTTTGAATATCATCTCAAATCTATACGCGATCTCAAAGACGAGCTTAAGGCTTTAAGTGTAATTTTACACTCACTTATCGAAACAATCAATATTATTATCAACAAAAATGTAACGCTCACGTTGCCTTGTGATAGAAGCAAAGGTTATTTTGAGTACAGAGGAAGAGGAAAGGTGCCTCAGCAGAATCAATTTTATTTGCTTATTGGGAGCAGTGTCCAGAGCCGCTTCGTAGGCTGAGCCCAGCTGATAAAGTCATTGGAGGCCCTGCAGAGCGAATTCAACACTAAGCACACTGCATCGGGGCTAAGAGCGCCCACTGGGTTTAAAATAGAGAGGGTTGTTGACAAATCGAAGACGAGAAAAGAATAGGAGATGAAGTGAGTGATGGCACTGGCAGGGCGTCGAGGCGGTGCGAAATCCGGTTGAGACATCAGCCATCCGGAGCTGCGCCTCCACCAAAAGGGGGAGTGGCTGGAGAATGCCTTGTGTAACATACACTACGCATGATATAGCCTTCTCCTCTTTTCGGTGATATTCGAAAGAAATATCGACGACAAAAACGACAAACCGGAGTATCGGGTTAAACAAACGTTTCATTATGAGCTCCCTAATCACTGGAAAGCCAAACCCCGTCTCGACGAACCCGGATAACCTCAGGAACTTCCTCGAGACCGACTCCGATAACCTCAAGAGCCGGTTATTCGCCGAGCTCGATCACACCGATCTGAAGACGCTAGATATCATCTGCGCCTATGTCCAGACGAGTGGAGTAGTTAGGTTACGGAAATTCTTCGAACAACTGCAGGAGATGGCAGTCAAAGTCCGAATCATAACCACACTACAAATGGGCACAACTGAGCTAGCAGCCCTTGAGACACTCAAGAGGTTCAACAACATTGACATCAAAGTATTCAACTACCCAAGCGATCGGCGGCTCACATTCCACGCCAAAGCATGGTTGTTCAGATATCTCGATGGACACGCTACTGCAATCGTCGGCTCATCGAACATATCGAGATCAGCACTTCTTTCTGGAATTGAGTGGAACTTAGTTCTAGCCAACCAGTCTCCAGAGACAAACCAAACAATACAATTCTTCACCGTGTCTTTTCAGGAATACTGGTATGAAACCGATGTGCGCTTTCGGGGCAACTTGATCGAGTACTCGGACGCAACGCGCAAGCACCTCGATGCCATTCATCAAAACGAGTGCACTAACATCGACATCGATATTGACGCGAACGAGACGGACCCTGCGATCCGTAAAGCAGTGGAAGAGCTTCGGGATGCGCAAAAAGTCCTTCAAGCTAAAAAATCGGCATGCATGAAGTTGATGAGCAAGAGATCCAAGCGACCGCTCCAAGCTGAAAGTGAAACCAGACCAGAGAGGAAAAAGCCCAAGCGGGCAGAAATGGCACAAACACACTCTCAACATAACCAACAGAGTGGAGAAGGACTCGATCAGATGATTCCGCAACAATCAGGTTTGCAAATGCAGACGACATTGCCGCAATTTGAGACAGCTTCATCAGATACCATGGATGGTTCAGATTTCTGGCTGGACGACAACCCCGATGCCCCAGCAGGCCTCGACAATGCAACTTTCCATAATCTGTCACTTCACTCAAACGAAGAGCTAGAATCTCACTTTCCCCCGAATCAGACCATTGAAGATTCCAGAACTCAGATGGATTCGGATACTGAAGTTAACGAGATTCTGCTAAGCCTGAGCACTCTGGTCCGGGATTGGGACCGTATGATTAGACAGGGCGCCAAATACAAAATTTTCCCGGGATTTCTAGTGAGCGCACGAAGGCATATTGAGAAGCTTATCGACACAGGCAAGGTAGGAGAGCCGAGTCAATTCAAGGACTAGTATCCCGTCACAGCAATGTAAGAAGGGTTGAGTAATTCAATTGACAGCCCGGAGGTATGTTCATCTACTCTTCAAGCTTATATTCACGAAGTAATGAACTTATCTTTGACTTTTCTACATGATCATTGTATAAACTCTAGTCTCCTCTGCAACATATGCCCAGGTGGCCGTTGTAATATCGTTGTTGGCCGAGCCTTCTGTACAGAAGCCCCAAACCTAGGAAGCGCAGAAGCGAACTACTTACACAGAAGACTTGCGGAACAACTGATGATTTCCCTGGCCTTGGATACTAACAGTTCATTGCCCAATGGTACAATTATTGTGAGGGGATTTGCAAGAACAGTGTAACTCTGGCACTTTTGTAACCACCTTCGACCACTTTTTGACGTTCAAGAAACTCTAATGAATCTCAAAATTCCGTTCCTGGTATTTTCCAGTCTCGAGACTGTCCGTCACTCCTCCTCTCATAATGCCATCGACATATATCTCTCCAATCAGCTCCCAATGCCCACCAGCCCCTCCCTCAAAACAACAGGAAAGCTGCATCCTAGGAGCACAACAATCTTATCGCCAATCTCAACCCTCTGCGGAGCAAAGCCAATGCGTTTGTCCTCCGAGATAACAAGACGCTTGGCATGCATCCTCAGGGCTGCCGAGGAAACTATGGCGCGTTCACGCTTCTCCAAGATCTCGTCATCTGCAGGGTTGTCTGCTTTTAACACCGGAACAGGAGAATCGCCCTTTACTAGATGCGGAAGGAGTCTTTGTATAAGGCTGAAGAAGAGCGTGAGACGCTCCGTTTGATCCTCTTTGAACTCGCTTCCGAGTAGGACGGCGCCCAAGACCCACCAACAAACGTTCTTTGGAAGACTGCTAGGTTCTCATCTGTGGACCCAACATTATCAATGAAGAACGTCCACCAGCTATGGAATGCCTTGAGCGTTGGCAACACCTCGCTTTCAGGACCATGAACGTACAGAGGCTCAGAGATCTTGGCAATTGTATCAACCACGCAGCCAGCGGCTGTCAGGACCTGTTCATTGTTGGAAAATAAGACTTAAAAGTACGCGTTACAGGAGTATAAATAAGCATCAGTTTCTAACTTTCTAGACCGAATTCGTGCGGAGACATGGTTTCGTGCGGAGGACATGGTTTCGTGCGGAAGACATGGTTTCGTGCGGAAGTGGTTTCGCGCGGGGAATACGTTTCTGGAGAAGGGAGGTATGGATTCAGAAAATAGATTCCGAATACCCAGCATAAACAGAATACAGAAGGGAGGATGCAGCATTCGCTAAGCAGTTCGGCCGCATGTGGGTAGGCGATCGATGCGATGGCAGCAATCGCTTGGATGCCGGCGAAACTACATGACCAGTGAGCACAACAATCCTTTGCCGCGTTCACAGCCAGGCGGCATTAAATTTTTGCTTCGCGCAATTACTGGTTGGAGTTCTTTCCCAAATTTGGAACCTTTGGTCACATGATTTCATTGCACTTGGGTTAGTCAAATATATGAAGACATGAGAACCGTTATGCTTCTGCTCCGTGGTAACACAAGCCGCGGTAACGCCAGCTCTCGATTTTGCGCAAGCTTTCCTGTCGCCGCAACACTTTTACGCGGTAGCGCAACTTTTCTGCGGCACCGTAGCTGCACGCTTTCTAGTCCCGATTTGCGGTACCGCGACCCCGGCTACCGCAACACTTTTACGCGGTAGCGCAACTTTTCGCGGCGACGCAGCTTTGCTCTGCAGCACCGCAGTATATCTCTACTCTACTTTTTTTCCGATGCTCCGCAGAACACAGTACTTCCCTATACAACGACAGACATTAAAAAAAAACTCATGCTAGCTTAAGATACTTCTCTTTATAACCATTTCTCTTAGCTCAGATACAAGCTCCACATATATAACTTCTTGCGAAACTGTAGGCAGTGTATCACGCTTGTATATTCCTTAATGGAGCAAAGCTGCGAAGTCAGGGATATAACAAATTAGTCTGAAGAGTACTACGAGAAAATCGTTGAAAACTTTACTATAAGAGAAGCTGCGCAGGGGGATTAGGCTTTCCTTTTATGACCTTTTTACAGCATCCCTATTAACCCCATCTTAGCCGGGATGGCAACAACATAATCGACGAGTCATTAAATATTCCGTGCTATAAAGGTTAGAAGAAAGCTAGTGGCAGTGGTATAACACTCTTGGAGGCACTCAATGTATCGCTTCAAGCTTGAATATGAGATTTTCGGTGGGAAATTAAGGAATAAGGAATTAACGATTAGAGATCATGTTAACATCTCTCATTCATATAAGATTATATATGTGATAACAAGGCCACCCCATTTCTGTCAATTTCAATACCTTCAATACTCAACACATTAAACGCATGCAGATAGCCATAACCTTGGGAAGTATCTTTCTTATTCACGTCTACCGGGCCCGGGTCAAGAAGGACCTGCATAATCTTGGGCCTAGGGTGAAAGAGAGCGTAGACAATGGCGTCTAACCATTCATATCTTATTAAGATACTCAACCACCCACTACTCTTTTAATAAACATCTTTTACTATTGAAAGGGAAAGTGAGAACCGAATCACTATAGCTAGCTGCCTTCATAAGCGGTGAAATATTCGGACAACCCATTTGCTTTCAGCTTGTCTGCGGATTAGAAACTTCGGGGATAGCCCAGTTGAAGATCAGACAGAGGAAGACATTGAATATGACACAGCTTACTATGCAAATTTTCACACAGAAGAGTCTACATAGTCTACCCTCAGGGGGGACTATCGTTATAGTATTCAAGTACAGGGCTCTATACTTCGAGCTCACAAGAGCATATCCCTAGCCTATAGCCTTCTCGGCGCACATCGCTCTTAATACCCGAGAGCCTGTTCCTAACGTAGCATATACCAAATATAGTATACTCTCGAGAGCTTACACTCGCAGTGTATCAAGGCAGGGACTTATCATTGGAATATCACGCAACATGGTGCTGCAGATTCGCAGGACCGAAGCTTGTGTAACAACCTGTGAAGCGGGACTGCTCCGAGCCGCGTGGCTCAGCCTACCGACATGCTTCGCCACATGCAGAGTCTCTTGCTTCGGGTCTTGAAAGGTTAGATTCTATTTTGACGCAGGTCGCGAGCTGTAAATATTTATCTGAATGCTATAAATATCACTAATCTGATTAGCGGCTGCCGTGATTATTTGCTGCGATGGCAAAATTGTCTCCAAAAGCTCAGCCTGATCCAGGTTTCAACAAATTGAAGCAGTTTTGAAGACAGCAGTGTTTTGTCATGGAAGAAAAAAAACTCGACAAAATTTGGAACAAATTCAATCACTATTATGCTGCTGTTTTATGCAGGTTTAAGGTTAATTGCTTACTCGAACTCAGTACATCGAGTCCCTCACAACTATAACATGTTACCCATGTCATAGACATCCTCGAAATCATCTGGAGCTGTTACGAACTCCACGACTCCACAAACACCTCTGCTAAAACATATTCGGGGCCGAGCATTCTCATTGAGCTTGCCCCAATCCTCTTTCGGGATGTGTTCTTTGAATATCCGCGCAGCTTCTGGCAATACATCAGTCTCTGATAAACAGCTGCGGCCTTGCTCTTCCATAGCTATCTTCCACCCGCAGACTTTGATGACACTTTCGCGACGCCACATACCTTCCCGGTCTGGGGCTTGCCTCAGCAATGACCCGGCCTGGCGTCTGAGCGGAAGAACTCGGCACTTCAGCGCAAGGAAGAAGAGTGGCAGTATGATGTTTAGATCGAAGGATAAGGTTGGTTGATTGTCAACAGAGGGTTTGCTAATGGCTATCTCGGCATATGCGATGAGTTTCTCAAAGTCGGTGGTATATTCGTCGAATGCCATCTCGGATCCAAACAACAGCGTCTTGAACATGATTCTCAGCAATAAGTGATAGAGTTCGAGATATGCAACTGCCCAAATTTGAAATGCGTCTTTCTCTAGCGAGAGGCTTCTGGCCATATTGATGGTTACAAGATACCATCGTTGGAGTCTCTCAAAGTGGACTTTGCGAAACCGGTCTATGGAAACAGGCTTGGCGATAATCCTGGAACGATCCGTATCGTTCCTAACGAGCCTGCTGACAAAAGTCTGTGGTTTTAGCGATTTTTTCAGGCCTCGCCAAACCAAAGTCATCAACTTCACTCCACGATAATTAGATAACTATTAATAATACTATCTTAAGACTCGAGAGTATTCAATAAAAGAAGGTATATTTAGTTTTAAGAACTTAGTCTACAAAATTGCGATGTAAATTATAATTATTGAAATCCTTTTCAGGGCTGTTTTGTTAGCGAAATACGCTAAAACCACAGACTTTTGTCAGCAGGCTCGTAAGCGAGATTGTACCTTAGGCCTTAAACTGCCCTATAATTATAGGGAGCTTATAGCATACTTCCACTTAGACTTATAAATAACTTTATAACTACTAATCGTATAAAAATTTTTTTTAGTTACGTAATTACTCTATTTAATCCTGGCTTTCTATTTCTATTATATATAGGAAATTTAGATTTAAGCTTATCTCAATGCGGCAAAAAGAAGTGTTTTGAGTTTTCGTGAGGCTCGTTTAATTAGGAAGTACCTCATATACAAATTTACTATGTAAGGTACTTTGCCCTGGATCGTTCCAACCGTTCCAGGATTATCGCCAAGCCTGTATGGAAAGCATTTCAACGGAGGCGTAATGGTCTTTGTCTCGCAGCTGGCGCATATGGCCGAATACAAAATTGAATTCGTTATCCAAAAAGCTGCGTGATTCAAAGACGCTCGAAAACGAGTGCGATCGTGGCTGCAGAAATCGTGGCCTCGAGCCAGTAAAGATAGCTCGTGTTTAAAAAGGTATAGACCGAGCCACCGTTTTTGAGGTCATTAATTATGTTCCCTCTAATATTATAATCGATTAAATGGTTCCCCTAATAGAGATAAGAGTATTGTATTACGGCTAGTGGGTCTGGATCGGGGGGCTCGACTTGGTTAATAGAGATTCCGGGAGCATGTAGGCTATATATGTCACACTAGAGTATCTTAGACATGACTCGTAGTAATTATAAGAAGATAGTATAATATATATCTCTTATATTAGAAGGAAAAATATTATTAGATGCTTTTTTGAATAAAAAGTTCTTGGCCAACTAATATACGAAGTAGATAGTGCTTTCTCGAATAATAAAAAACGAGCCGTAAAAGCCGATTTCTTCTTATACTAATACTAGATTATTAGCTATATTATTAAGCATTACGAGGAGAGATATTAGCTCTTTGAGTATAATGGGTCGGTATATAATAGCAATTGAGGCTAGAATTTGTTTATATAAATTAGCGTTATCTAAGCTATATATCTGTGCAATTATCCGCTCGTAGAGAGAATCGAGTCTAGGCGAAAACGTGCTTAGTTTGGCGATAGCCTTCCATTATAAGATCTTCTCAAGGTTTTAATAAACTAATGCTATTTAGAGAAACATGCCATTTGCATGTAAGGATAGATAGTCTAGTATAGCGTCTCGCATTTTGTCATCGTATTTCTTTCTCTTTACTAGCTGAGACACCTTATACTAAATAAAGCTGCCAATAGCCATAGAAACAGACTCTGGGTTAAGCTCGAGGCACAGCCTCACCTTTGCGGCCCGCCATCTCTAGCCTTTCCTCGATGTCGGGCCAGTTACGGCTAGAGACGATTCACTTAACTCGAGATAATATAGGGGATTACTGGATAATGAAATCTAGTAATTTTGGCAAGTTTATCTCGCATTCGTTAAGCGCATTAATAATTAGGTAAGTGTTATTTAGGTTTGGGTCCCGTAAGATATTTGTAAAGATCTCGCATAAGGCAATCTAGGCATTCATATTCTTAAAGAGCACTTTTCTTGCATGGTCATGCTTCTTCTATATATGTGAGACAAGCGACGAATACTGGTTGAGGAGCAGGTATAATAGCCCTCGTAGCATAGCTATAGTATGATTAATTCGCAAGTTCGTGGCTTAATAAAAGAAATAGGATAATATACCTGTTTTAAGCATTGACTTTTCTAGCTTATTAATAATGCCGTAGAGTAGCATTATCTTCCCTTACCGGGGCCGCCCTTAATCTATAGCAATTGGCTTTGCTAGTCGTTACGTTACTATTAAAAGTCGAAGTTTTCAAGGATCTAGTAATACGAGTTCTTCAGCAAGCTACTCTTAGTATCTTTAATTCGTTTTTTATTATTGCGGGAATTAGTAAAGTATAAGTCTGAGATATATTTCTTTAGCTATATTATAAAGTATAAAGTAAAATACCTTAAATAAGAAACTATAGTAAGCTTATATAAGCTATTAATAATCAAATCCGGAATAAGTTAAGGAGAACAAGTACGAATTATAATTTTTGAATTAATGTTTTGCCAAAGCCTATATACTTTCTTCTTATTAAAGAATCTTCTTTATTACGAATTAGCTTTTGACTTCGTTAGCTAATATAGTCACCTAATAGTTACTTATATCTTATTGCTTTTTAAATATATATAATGCAGCCGCCTTACTAGAAAAGCATATTTAGAAGGCTAAGCCCCTTATAAACTAGTATATTATAGGATATATATACTTTCTTATAGCCTCTTATATTCTAGTTTTCCCTTTCTTAGCTTTAAATTATTAAAATAAAAACAATTTAACTTTACTTTTTAGGCTCTAGATCTTATATTTATAATATTTTCTTTAAGTTTATTAGCTTATTTTAAAGATATAGAAGCTAATATTTATAATAAAAGCCAAATAATTAAAATATAAAAGAAATATAATAATTAAATAAATAGCTCAAAATATATAAACTAATTATTATAAATAATAGTATATAAATATAAGATATTATAAAGCTATAATAACTTTTTTTAAGTATTTTAAAAGAAAGAATCAAATAATAATATTAAAGATAAAGATCTAATATTACTTAAACTTTATTAGAAAATGTATTAATTTTGCTTTTATTTATATTTCGAAATATATATTATATAATATTAATATAAGTAATATATTATAAGACAGTTTTATAATATTTCTTTATATAATTTAGTAAATATATCTAATATAAAAGCCTAATATTATAAAGGCTATAATTAATTTATTATTTTACTAATATCTTTTTAATATATTTATTATAAAAATATTTACTAAAAGAACTAGAAATAGTATAATTATAAATCCTTTTATAAATTATTAATTACTAGTTTTTAAGATATAAGAAATACTTTATTAGTCTCTTATTTAATATTATAAATAAAATTACCTGGCTTAATATAATATTAAGCTCCGATTATACTTACTTTTTTGCCTTTATAATTATAGAAATACTAGTATTAATAGGCTTATTATATTAAATATATAAATAAGATCTTTTTTTCTTTATATTATAATATATTATTATATTATTAATTATTATAATTCCTTTTCTAATAATAATATCTTAAATAAAATAAAATTTATATTAATTAGAAATAGCTATTTTAATATTATTTAATTAAACTATTTTAATATATTATATATTTTTTTTTAATTATTTATTATTAATTACTAGTTACTTCTTTTTAAAGCAATTAATAGTTTTAATTAGAAATAGCCTTTATTATTATTTTATTTTATTTTAAAGATATTAATAAGCTTTCTAATATTTTGCCTTTTTCGGGCTATTTTTTAAAATTCTTAAAAGTCGATTTATATATTAGGCCAATTTTATAATATATAAAAAATATTTAATTAATACGAATTATTATAATATTAACTTTTATAGCTACCGGAAATTAATTAACTAGCTTATTAAATAAGCAAATTTTATTAACTTTTTCTTTAATTTCATATTATAATAAATCTTTAAATAATTAATATTAATTCTTTAATTAAAATAATATTTAAGAAAGATATTAATATTAGAATACTAGAGAATAAGATTTTATATAAAATTACTAATATTTATTATATTAAATATCTTATATTCATATAAATATATATATATAAAGAAAAAAAGGGAAGTATTTATAGCTTTTATTTAGCCTCTTAGCTATTAAGTTATAAAAGTAATACGGCTTTATAATTTTAATAAAGCCTATAATCTAGTTATTTTTCTTTATCTAATATTATATTAAGTTTAATAATAGCTTAAGTTTATAAATAATATAAATACTATATATTTTATAAAGTCTTTAATAAAAAACAAACTTCTTATTAAATATTTCTCGAAGTAATAATTATTATTTATTTAAATTATCTAGAATATTGAAACTATAAAGCCTTTTCGGAAAGTTAATACTTGAAACCTTAAAGGCTAATATTTTAAAGAATATATTAAATAAAAGAATATAGGAGCTAAAAATAAATATTAAATTAAAAATAATTTCGGGAATAAGAAACTTATTATTATAATATAATTAATAAATTAAATTAAATTAAATTAATATATAGGAATTAGAATATTAGATATATATATTTTTATACCGAAATAGCTTTTAATATACTTGCTAATTAGCTTAATAAAAAGTTAAAAGCAATTTTTATTTAAATTCCGAATTAAAATTAGCTTAAAATATTAAAAGTAAAGTTTTATTAGAGCTTTTAGTTAATTACTTATAATACTCGTAAACTAATAAAAAAAGATCTTTTAAATTTAAAGCTAGCTAATCTCGAAAGTTATTTATATTATAGCCAGAAATATATAAGTAAACTTAATAAAATCTTTAATATATATTATTATATTTATTTAATATTATTAAGTTTCTTTTATTATTATTATAATCTTAATTATCTAGTATCTTATTAGTAATAAAGTTAATTTCAAAAAGAGTTAAAAAAAACTATTTAGAGATAACTTATATTTTAATTTTATTAATTTATTTACTTATCTCAAGTTTATATATTAACTATTATTATTTTTAAAATATTTCTAGTAAGCTTATATATTTGATTTCCGGTTACTACTATTTCTTCTTCTCTTATTACTAGTTATAAATCTAGCTTAAAATATTATATAAGAACTAAGTATTAATTTTTTGGAAGAATTATTTTAAAAGGTTAAGGTTTCAAGTTATTAAGGATTTTATTTAGTACGGGACATCTTGCTTTCCCGGGACAACTTGCTTTCCCCGACTAAAGGGAAGGGCCCCTTTAGTGCGACGTCAAGTCCGACTACTACTGAGAAGTCGTAGAAAATAGTTTCATGGTTTTGGTGTTCTTACCCTTTTGCGCGCGTCGCTTAAAAATGCGATTTTAACGATAGTTAGTAATATCGCTGTAGCTAGCTGTGGGCCTCAGTAGGGCAGGTGAAGTGCTCTCTCGAGCCGCACAATCATCAACAATAATGTCCAACATCCAAGCCGCACCTCAAGCCGTCGATCCCGCGATCGGATTCTCAACATTCAACCTTCGACCCTTCTACCCGCCTGTTGCGATCCCGGCAATCACGATTGGACTGATCTATCTGATTATTATATCTTTCTTCTCCTTCTCATTCTACCTCCCAATCCACATGAAGTTCATCCAACGGCAGCGCCCGCTGCACTTCTACCAACTCATCATCTTGCGCTGGATCGCAACTGTGACAACATACCTCTTCCTCTCCCTCTTCTACTCACTCATCTCCCTCGCGTTCCAAATCCCCTTCTCCAGCGGTCCAGCCCCACACACAGAAGTCGCGAATCCAGCGACGGTTTACGGAAAGGGCAGTTTCCCGGTATATTGGATGATCGATTTCGTCGGCATGAAAGCGCTTGGATTAGCGTGCGAGAATGTCGCAATGGTTGTGGGCATGCCGTATACGAGTTTCTGGCTCATTTTCTGGGTCATCACGAACGTGAGCACGAGTTTCTATAGTATTACGCTTGCGCCTGGCTTTTATCGATGGGGTTATGCGTGGCCTTTACATCATAGTGAGTCCAATGTCCACTTCATCTGGAAGCACTTTGGTTGATACAGTGATAAGTTTCGCAGTTGTCAACGCGAGTCGAACGATCTTGTTCGACACCCATAGTCAGATTGGCCTCAATTTTGGAGTTCTTTTTGCGTGGTGTGCGGTCAACACTGCTTTGTTCCCAATATGTTGTTGGTTTATGAGGTGGAAGACTATGAGGCAGAAGAAGAAGGAGAGCGAAGGGAAGGAACAATGAGGTCAGTGAGACCGTGTTTGAATACTGGGCGGAATGCAATACCTGGTATGTTTAATCAATAACAGGATACTCAAAAATGGATATCAATAGGACAATCAACGTTTCCATTGTTTCTGCCCAGATACGAGAAGGAAGCGACTGAATCCGAGGCCACGAATCCCAATAACCATTCTTTGCTACCAATCTGATAGTTTGGAAAATTCGATTCAGTGCAAGACATCGACCTTAAGGGGGAGAATAACGAAGCCCATACTCCATTCCGGGACCATTCACACTTCCCCACCCACTCACAGGATCGAATCCAGAGACAGCGGTGAAATACGGATCATCCGGAGTATCACCCGAATCGTTATTCCCAATTTTCACATCATTGAACACTCGTTGGGGCCTTGTGACTGGTGGAGTCGCATATTGAAAATGTCCCAGCTGATACAGTGTGGGATTCAGCAGGCCAAAAGACCGATGAAGTACAGCGCCATAGGAAGCGAACAGGCCTGCCATCAAGGGAGCAGAGCACGAAGTCCCAATGAAGTTGAACGGTGACCCGCCGAGAATGAAGCCATTGTAGCCCACATTCGCCGCAATGTCGGGAAGGAATCTCCCGCCCGTCTTGACGGTGCCAGCGGAGTCCTTGAAGGATGGCACCTTGAAGGCTGTTGATACGTACTTTAACTGGTATGGTGGAGTAGGAAACATCTGGCTCATTCCTCCACCTGTGGTTCCGCCGCCTGGGAAAGTGAATTGGGACGAGGGATTATTGATGTCGCTCCATGCGTACTCGTCGAAGGTGATCTTGTCGGTTGACTTCACGACATTGCCGACTACGGTTCCGCCGACTGTTGTAACCCATGGGTCACTAGCGGGATATCCAACATGCTCTGCTCCAGGATCGTTGTCGTTGGATCCCCAGTCACCAGAGATAGCGAAGAAAGTGACCCCCGAAGCTGCAAGACGCTGGAAGAGGGTGCTGAAGTTGGTACCGAGATAGAACTCGTCGTACATTGTCCAGCTGCATGAAACGACATGTGGTCTCTTCTCTGTTCCAGGTGTAATGAGGCGATTGAGGAAGGTCACCCAACCAAGCTCCGTATAGTCGCTGAAATAGACATTGACTGTGCAACCTTGAGCGATAGTTGCTGAAGTTTGAATGTCTTGTGTGACTTCATCAGTGGGAAAGGCCGGGTTGTTGCTGTAATTGTTCGACCCAACAGTTAATGAGACTGGTACCACTGTCGGAACTTTCTGAAAGCCGGGAATCTGGTTGGAGAAGTACTTTGTGATATCCGTGGGATTGTAGTTGCTGTTTGGACAACCGCCGTTGAAGATTCCAATGACTTGGTTGGTGGAGTCGATACCGGGTGGGAAGTTGTAGATCTGGGCGACGTCTGTGACCAGCAGTCTGGTTGAGTTGGGTGGATCTCCCGAGAAACCTCCTGGTGCTGAAATGCTTCTGCTGTCTAGTCCGACAATATGGGTGATAGGTCCATGAAGATGAGATGGAATTGACAGTTCACCGGTGTACCCATGATAGGTTTCGGTCAGCGGGTGTTGGCTTCCCAATTTGATGCCTCTTCTCTTGGATACAATAGCCACTGGCGTTGGCTTATGGTAATAGTTGAGTTGGACACCAAGCAGGGACTTGATCTGTGTTGCTGTTCCAACAGCAGTGATGGCTCCAGTGCCAAGATTCTGATCGAGAATTGTCATTCCGTAGTCTTTCAGTGTAGAAGCTATGGTTGCGGCATCTTCTTCTGAAGATCCGTACTTCTCAGCAAATTCTTCAGGTGTTGGGAAATTCCGTTGATTTAAGGGAGTCTTCTCCCAGAACTCCAAATCGGGCAGCTCTGGAGCTCCGGCCTTTGGTCGAACAAGGACAGTGAAGCCAACTTGCTTGCTCTCTTTAACCTCTCCAAGGAGCTGAGATTCCGGAGGATGTGGGCGAGCACTGCCCTCAAGAATATGTGTAGCAGGAGCAGACATGACTAGGTATCTAGGTGAGTGATGTTGGCGAATGTTGATCTTATATTGAGGGCTTTGTCTCGTACCTATTTGCTAGGATGGAGAGGACGATGTTAAAAACGCGAAACAAAGAGAAGCGGGGCATATATATATGCAAATAATACTACCCCTCAAGCTGAGAAGCTGCTCACGCCACGAATTCATGACTTCTATTGGTCTCATTGGAATCTCAAGTAAGCTTTCATTGCTGTGACAGGTGCGGAAGCGAGGATGCAAACATTTGGTTCGCTCAACCAAAATTCATTCCGAATGACTGCACAGTACTCGCCGTAGGTCTCATCATCACACCACTTCATACTACCTTCGAATCCTAATGTACTTCAAGCCCGGTCGAATCATTTTGAGACATGGAAAGAGCTGAAAGTCTCATGCGCGCCTCTCCAATAGGGGGGCACTTGCTTATGCGGTCGTTATGCACGATCCCTCACTTTCAGGCAGCCATTCATTGACATTTTTCCGCTCTCCGCTTCGTGCTCACCCCGGTACCCGCCAGTCGCCTGAGCCGGTGAGCCGGGTGAGCGGCGCTGCCCTAGCTCCCGCGCGCGAGGTGAGGAGGAGCGGCCAGAAATGTAGTGGGGGAGTTGATGGTTGTAGAATTGGTCAGGTGTCTAGAGGATCATGACCAGGATGCCCCATATGCTGCTACGGCCGTGGCATCGAAAGCTAAATTGGGCGTAGCTCTTGATCGATGAGTGGCCTTCATTTGTGGCTCATCTCACACTTGGAGCCCTGCCTGGATTGATGGGTGCGGCATCGATGAAAAATCCCATGCGGAAATCCGACCAAGAGCATATATGGTGTGATGCCAAACAGGCGCGGCTGAGTCTGGACCCGACGGATCCCCTGGCTCTCTGAGCCCTTTGGCCAACCTAGAGTAAAGGGGAACCGAGTACGATACAGTATTGAAGGTTATCAACAGAAAAGGGAAGTATAAATAAGTTAACGAATTTCATGCCTTGCTATGCAGATTTCCTCAACTCCACGCTAAATTGCTTCGGAAAACCCGCAATGCACCGCATCTTACCTCAGTGATGATATTCATAATATTCTCCAGCATTCACAAATTGCTTCAACTTTTCCTCTTTCTTGCTTTCGGACAAGCCAGCACCAACTCGATGACATCGAATAAGATGGTCGCGCAAATCACCCTCTTCAGCGAAAGTTTCTTCAGGACATCTCTCCGATACCATCGGACATTCGTAACGAATTCCCAACGCGTAGGCTTTCCATCGTGGTGTCTCTGATCTTGCTCGTCTTTGGAGAACCAGCGATAGTGCAATACCATCGAGCTCTTTGTCAACATTAGAGTCCTGGAGATACGCTTGGGTAACTCGGTAAATTTCCTCTTTAGTGCTCTCTTTGCGCCAGATACCCTTTTCTTTCCACTCATCTAACTTGATCTTTCCTAGTCCACGATCGAGAGGTTGAATGTCTTGGCCAACGATTGTCTTCAGCGTCTTAAACAGCTGGCCGATGACCGATATCTTTGGTGCCTCATCCTCGGTTGCCTGCTCCGGGACGTTGAGACGATGGTATCCATGCCTCCTGCCATTTACTGTTTCTTGCAGCATGCTTTGATGATATTGTTCACAGTCCGTGGATACTTTCTTTGCGCCATTGAGCCACCCAATAGGTCTTCTGAGGAAACCTGGTTTGCTACGACTGAATCTGGATATCCCAGTGCCGATACTGACTGTTAATGCATTGGCTTCATGAATGTTCCGATGGACCTGGCTAACTTCGTAGAACACCTTTTGGGACGGATTGTTTAGTCCAAAGCCACCATCAATGTATTCCATCTGGCCTATTTGAATCGAGTTGAAGTAAGAAGGCGCTGCTGACGTTGCCCTTGCTGCCTGCCATATCAAACACGAATCTGCAGGTCCCGCCTTTTCAATCGGATTCGAAGTTTTGTTGCCATTGGTTTCTTCACCTGCTTTCACCCGTTGGTGGTGGGCATAGCTTCGAAAAGGGACTGGCACATCGTGTCCAGTTCCTTTGTTGTGGCCCCAAGCGTACACGATTCTGCAAGGCATCATTAGTATCATTTGGAAGTACTGGCCCGGATCATACTCACGTTCGACACATGTTTGGATTCATGGCAAAACAATCTCCTTCTTGTTTGCGGAGGTTATCCTGCACCACCTTGTCCACCACCTTCTCCAATGTCCTTTTGTTGTACTTGGCACATGGCCAAAAAAAAAAGGAGTAAATCGATACGACGCCCACCGCGACTTTCCAAATACTTGCTTAGCTAAGTCGGCATATTCTTCGAGACAGTCGTCAACGCTCATGCGAAGTCGTGAGAGCATGATTGCATTGAGCCTGCTTGTCCATAAAAATTAGAATGCTCTGCAAAATAGGTTGAAAAGACTCTACTGACCCTCCAGTACTAGTTCCCGCTATCCAGTCAAAGTAGTGATGTGGGTAGAAGCGAGACTTTTCTTTTCCAGGCTCTTGTTCCCTTTCCTTTGCCTTGCCGTTTGCGATTCCGTTATTAAGTATAGTAGATCCGCTGCTGCTCAAAGGTCTCGTTGCTGTTGACTTTTGCCTCCGGAGCCTCTCAGCGGAGGTTAGTGGAACATCGGGCCAAGGTATGGGGTCGAAGCTTGAATCGACTTTCTTGCCATTACGCAATGGTCTCGATCGCTCGATCGCCTCAACCTTGTCCATCAATGCCTTGAGAATGAGCAATTGTGAATAGCCTCGCACTCCTCCACCGTCTGCCGGATCGTCATTAGCTGATTAACTTTCCATTTTTAGAGATGCTCACCAAGTGTCAGAATGAAACAGTAACCCCATAGTAACACAAACTGTCGAGTTTTGTCTGCTTTACCCAGGACCGTGGCTTGCTTAATCCTCTCCTCGACATTATCAACTTTGTTGAATGTGATCTCTTTTGCGATTGAAGTGGGTCTCTCCCCGATCGAGTGTGGACTGCGCTGATGCGATGTAGAATTTTCTCCCAATTTACCGGATCGCGGCGATGTAGGGCGGATTTTGTCTGCTTCTAGGTTGGCTTCGAGGTGTTGAAATTGGAAGGTTGACTTTGTTGGAGAATTTAAGGCTTTCGCTACCTCCTTTACCAGTGGACTTGCTGGACGAATGGCCTCCACCGATGCATTCATGATCTTGAGTTAAGAAAAACTAAATATATAGACAGAAGCAAAAAATTTCGCTGTGCTTTTGAGATTATTGATATAATTCCTGGGTGGAAGGCTTCAAAGAGTGAGTTGAGGAATAGAGGAAAACTGACAAGGCTCCGAGCCGCCTTGTATAGACTATCGATGCAACCTCTTTCCACGAGGCTCTGGCCGCATTTCGCACTATGCGAATGTGTAGCGCGGACTTGTCAGACAAACATGAGTCTCCAGCCTCTTAGAATATGCAGATGTCTTCGTGTTACCAACCTAAATTTGTCTTAAGCCTCTTGAACATGGGTCCTTCTGCGAGGCGGGCGCGGACGCTGCAGTGAGCTCCAAATTGGGCAACCTGAGAGGCTTGAAAGTCAGGTGCAAATAGAAGCGAAATCATTTCTCTGGAAAACCCGGCAATCCTTTGGAAACCAATGTGGGCATAGCGTGTTTATCAAGAAAATTTCCAGGTTACACAAGAAAGGTGTGGTTGTACAGAAAATGGGGCTAAGCAGCCCAGAAAATTCCATGGTGTAGGTGCCACATACGCTATTCGTTGGGGGCTAGTTCCAGGCGCATCAACGCGCCCATAAGTCTGTCAGTGGCTTATTGCGGTGGCAACCGGTAACTGGTGACTGAAGAAGATCCTCTGGGATTCAGAATGATTGACTGGAAAGAGAAGGGGTGCGGAAAGAAGCCACAGACCGATTTATGGGCATGAGTAAAGTTGTGGAACCATTTTCATTCCCTCTGTTCCCACGCTCTCTGACTTTCCGCCAGCTCTTACTGACACATAGGTTGCGTCAGCCGCCCCGTGTCAGAAGGCTCCCGATTTTGGCTGCAACCAACAGTCTCGGTTGGAATTCGTTTCTCGAATTAGACCAGCTGGACCGCCACCCTGATTAATTATGGCAAGCCAATTGGCCCTAGCACAAAGCCCAGTGTCGCCGGCAGATCTCAAGGCAAATTTCAAAATGCATACTTAACCTCTTAGACATCCCACAAAGTGAACTTTGTTTATCGCCGAGCCTCAATTATACTCTACTGCCCTTATGTGATCACCTGCCCAATCACGCTCCAAACTAGAGCTCGCATCTGATGGCTGTGAACAGACAAGTGAAGCCAAGCTCTCAAGGTTGGAAATCCACGACGCGCAAACGCCGCCTCTCATCAATTGTGTACGATCCAGCGAGGGAAAAACTCTCCGTCGAGTCGATTCCGGTTGAAAAGTTAACAGGTAAATGGTATTTCTGAATCTCCTGCATGAAACTTAATAACACTGGGGACATAGGCTACACTCCTGTTGACTGTCCTGGTAGCAACAGCCATGTCGACATTTTTATAGATATTGGGGAAGGCGTCACCAAAACCCTCATTGCGAGAGTTGACCTCTCGAAATTATCTGCTATACTGTTATAGCTTCTATGTCGGAGAAAAAACTGGCCGAAATTGGCACGTGTATATAAACTAAAACACTATGAATTTACATATTTAATACTTTATTATTTGCCTACTATAGTGGGGATTGGGTGAACGTTTCGCTAATCATGTATTTCCACGTAACTCCTCAGCTTCTCGCTCCTTTTTATATTTAGCCTTTTCCCTTTTTACGAAGAAGACTGTTACGGGCGAGGCCTTTATACAAAGAAGACTAGTGGTTCGATTAACTGAATAGAATTCTCTAAGGAGAAAAGAAAGAGAAAAACGGAGAGAAGCGGAACCGTATTCCCTAGAGTGTCCGAGCTCCCTGAATAATGCATAGTTGCTCCGTTAACTCAAATAGGCGCGTCATATAACAAAGGCCCCGGCCTTTATTATATAACTTGGCAAAGGCTTCTAGCCGAGTATATAAATCGGGTTTTAACCTATTATATTACCCCCCTCCTTATCTGCAAACGCCGGCCCTGCAAGTATATAAGCAAAACTTCTTTTTATTAAACTATCTCTTCCTAAGCCTCTAATACTATTATCTCTTTAAATACAGAGCATGGTCTCATATAAAGCATATATAATTTTTCTATTTTATAAGTAGCTTCTTTAAGAGCCCCTAATTATATCTTATATATTTCTTATTAAGAATCCGTTTAATTTCATACTCATTTTCTGTGAGGCGCACACTATAGCAGGGTGCTACGCAAGTAGTCAAGGTAAGGGATGGAATCCAAGGTAAAGTATAGAGTGAAGCGTGGAAGTATAATTGATTCCAAGAACTGGTTCCTATAGATAAACTAATCGATGCCCATTTCCAAAGCTCGCATGCCTCCATATATAGAATCTAGTATTCCGCTGGATGTACGGAAGCACTAGTCCCAATTAGAGAATGCGATCCCATATAAGTACTAGCCCAATTAGGCTACCAAATCCAGCTAGACGCTTGCTATTAATATATACATTACATTTTCATTATTTACAAGTTACGGTTATGGCTATAAGTCGTCTTGAGACTAACTTAATAGCGGGTCTATTACGGCTAGCTAAAGAAGCTTGCTATAGAATATATTATATATTTCTGGAAAGGTATTAAGCCAAAAACTATAGCTTTCTATTATTTTAACTACTATATATTTAATATATTTTATATTAAGATTTTTAGTTAGCTTATTTATTCGGATATTCTAGAGATTAATGTTACAATAAGGTGGTTGTTGCAGTGGTGGTAAAGAGCTTGAATTGAGCTGAAGGCTGTATGCCAGGCTAAAAGCACTGGCTACACGCTAAGTCACGTGCAGTGGCACCACGTGACTGGTGCCACGTAACAATTAAGCTAGACTTTATTTCTAACCTTGAATTCCGGGGCCCAATCTCTTTTCTGATTTATTATTTTTTCTTAAAATCATTAGACTATTACTATTATAGCTTATATATACTCTTATATATTATAAAGCCTATATATAATATTATCTGCTATTTGAATAAATAATAATTTCTTGCTTTTTTTACTAATTTCGTTCTAGAGCTAGAGTATCATAACTCTTGTAATCCGGAGTATACTCTTATATCCTCTTAGTACTTCTCAAGTACGATCCTCACGCTCCAAGACTCCAGCCAGCCTGCAACTCTCTATACGTCTCGGCTACCCACCGAACCCTGGCTTTTTTCCTCAATTGCTCCTATATATTACTGCTTTTGTATATAACGGTATACGCTTGTCAAGTTTCACTCCCGTATAGGGGTCTTATATAATCGTCTTCCATGCACTTGTCCGCGAACACTATCCTCCGAACGTAGCTCGATCCGGGATCTTCCAATTTCATTACTGATTATACGAAGGCGACGGGCGAAAAAAAACCGTCCAAATCCCTTAGCGAGAATTTGCACAATCTTAGCTTTGCGATAAAAAAATTCTCGTAATTATAACTTGAATTTAACTCTAGCAAAATTATTATAAAAGATAGATCTGCTTCTTCTCTATCGCACAAACTAAAAAGTAAAGAGTTTAGACGTTGTATTGAACATTAGTGCAATTTTCTAAAGGTAGCGATTTTGGTGTTCCTCGCGATTTGGCAGGTGGCCGGTTTTTTCGCCCGTCGCCTTCGTAAATCCCCCTTCTCTCCTTACGCCCCTGCTTCGTGCCACCTAGGCTCCTTCTAATTACCCCGTTACTATCGCCGGAGGTTCCAAAGCCTCCAACTAGCGATTCTCTTGGCGTGAACGTTATATATAATTAACCTCGTATAAGACTACTCGTAGGGAATACCCTCGACCTAACGTAATATACGGTTCGACGCGTATCGAGGAGAAATGAATTCGCGAGTATACCTAAAGTAAAGATCCTCTAGTAGTTAATTGTATCGATTTGTTGTGAGCGTCCTCTAAACACATTTATTATTAAAGAATGCTTGGTGCGTGTCTATATATATAGATCTTGTCTGAATCGATATTTTCAGTGCTTGACGCGCGGCATATGAGGAATCGCATCGAATTGTCGTGTTTTCGGTCTCGCAGACCCTGTGGGACTCAATCTTGGCTCTGCAGACTCTCAATCGAGAGCTGCAGGTTCCTAGAGGACACCGCGTACAGGTGTTGAGTCTTCGTCCTCCCTGGTTTCCATTGCTAACCCACAAGTGCGTTTACAGCCTCGATTGTTAATCCATATAATCAAGAAGGTCAAATATGGTGGCTCATATTCCATATTATATAATCTCAACTTCTACAACTTCTGCGTCTTGTAACCAGTTTGCGCCTTTATCTGCTTGACTGAGGAAACCTACGCGCTTAAACGTCCTTCCCTGGACATTTTTGAGAACCAAATACAACCTCTGTGTATTTTGTGTTATCCTGCCCTCTTGGTGCTTTAGGTACCCCACAGTCAAGCAGTGTAAAGTATCGCCAGGCAAAACTTCCTCTGATATTCCTCGGGGGCTAACAATATCCAACACGAGATTATCTCCCGGAGATACAAACCTCTTGGAATTATCAGAAAGTAGCAGAGGTTCTTTGCCCTGGTTTTGAAGCGGTGGAATCTCTGCGAGAGCGCCCTTAACCTGTAATAGTCCTCCATTCACCTGACCAAAAGCATTCTTGCTCAAAAGCGGGCATTTTGCAGAGAGTATAGTAAAACTATCGTCCACTTCTATTGAGCGATCTCTTGAATATTCGATACTCGGTGCTGCGGTTGTGTCATGTATAGGGATAATAGATGCCCATGACCAAGTAGGAATTGTAGCCTTTGGCCCTGAGAGACGACGGCACGTAACATCTGAATTCCTTCTCCACAACAAGCCTTTCCACAGATCTGATAGCCACAAGCCTGCAAGGTATGATGTGTCGAGCGCTTCAGCGAAACGGCAAGCAAGACCGGCCAGTGCAGGGAGGCGGTCACCATCGTGTGTAAGTTTCAGACCAGAATACGCATCTATAATACGATACCATTCATCAAGCATATTCTCAGCCGACCCCAAACCTTTATTGTCGAACTGTAACATCGCAAACGGGGACTTCCAGGTATTTGTAACGTGCCTTGCCATTCCATAGATTTCCTCGTGTACTTCTGGAAATTTAAAGTAGCCACACTCACAGCTGACATCTTCCCGGCATTCCCATATGAGCTCCTCTGAATGGAAGTGCACTGTTCTAGGAGACATTACAGTTTCCTGATAGACCCATGCTCTACTAAGCAAAGGAGCACCTGTTTCAATACCCCCGCGCTTCATACAAATGTTATCGTGGCCGTGCCGAACAGGTTTACGGACAAATGTGTCTGCCACCTCTGGGATGGCTCTCCCTAGTTGAATCTTTTCTCCAGTTGAAAGGTCAGTCTCGGTATTTCCCAATCCAACATTTATCGGTGATCTAGGAAATAGGCAACCACCGCTGCTATTAAGAGAGGCAGTTGCTGCTAGTGTCATAAGAGAATTGAGATACACCTCGGCCATTCCGGCCGACTCTGTCTCCCAATCAGAGCCGCTGTCTTGAATAATACATAGGCTATCAATCCATAAGAATTGTAGGCCGAGTTCGCGAGTAATGAGAATCGCATCCCGGAATGTTTGACCAAGGGCTTCCCAAGATATCTCTTTGTAGTGCTGAAGGAGAGTTTGTGTCGTTGTCTGAACTGGTTGGTGTTCCGTGTTTCCCCAACAATGGCTTAAAGTAATATAATTCGCTCTTTTGCCACTAGATTCAAAAAGGCGAGGCGAAGTAGCTTCAGTTCCCACGTCAATCACACGGGTTGGTAATTGTGGCTTAGTAAGGATATTGCAGCTCCGGTGTAAAGAGTTACAGGCAGCAAGCCTTGTGTTGATGAAGCCTGCACAGTGCTTGACTGAAGGGCGCAATGCTATATGGGTGGTTGGTCGTATATTGCTTAGAGAATTTGATAAGGAAGATGCATCTTTTCAGCAGATTTAGCAAATTGAGGAATAAAACTAAATTCAGGATGCTTACTAGATACCGTGTACACTTCAAGGTGAAGTTCCGATGGTAAACCTTTGGCAATGACTAGTTCAATAGTGAACTTGCGCCTAAGCACAATTTCAACCTTGCAGACTCTTCCAGGCAACAACTCTTCAAACGAAGGTGAATTTCCCCCTACTTTCCGTTTGCAACCCTGCTTGATTGCTCCAAAAACAATATTACAGTAATTGCAATTTTCAGAAGCCTTTAATTTGGCTAGCGTTGTCGTAATCCGCTTCCGTAATTTGCTATATTCATGGAACTGTGGACTGCATTTGCTGTACAATGGAAAATATTTCCAACTAAGGTTTAGGCAAACCTGGCACTCCGCTTGCGAGCACTTGAAGAGATCTGCAGGCGAGGAAGGATGTTGATCATCACATGAGGTGCTCGTGTAGAAACCAGGTACTTGAAATTCCGATACGCACTGATGCTTCCAATTATGCTCTGAAGTACTCTCGATCTCATCCTCGGAGGTATCTGGCTCGGTAGTTGAAACTCTTGCAAGTGTTGCAGATATTGCGTTCAATTCGAATGACGGCCGTCGTCGCGTAAACACTTTCGGCCAACTCAGCTTGGATAATTTCCAATTCCTTCGTAATAATTTCCAACTTTTTGCAGCTGAGTGGCGATTAGGAGAAGTGTTTCTTGAACTCGACTTTAGAATTCTGCTGACGTCTCGCTTCTTTCTGGCTTCGTTCCAGCTAGATTTCAAATCTTCGGGCCATTTTGGGTTCGACTCTGAGTTTGCTGAGATTTTATCTGTCCGGGTCGCTGGGGGGCAGGTCTTCTGTGATGCAGAGATGCATTGATTGTTCGTACCTGAAGTCTCAAGCTTAACAATGTCAGCACTGTTTCTTCAACGGCAATGAAATGAAAGAGCATAAGAAATCCAAACTCCTCACACCAACTATCCTATTTGAACTAGACTCCCAGGTCTCCCTTTCCGCCTTGAAGTTTGCTTGTTCGCAAGCTAGCTGCTCCATAGAATCGGCAAGGCTCCGCTTGGTAGTATTAATTAACATCTCATCTACTCTCAGGCGCTCAAGCCAGTCCTCTTTACTTTGTCTCAATTCATTGATAAGTTCTCTTCCAGATTCCATTAGCGGGATGAGACCCTCGAGGCATCGACTGAGGTTAATCGAGTCCGTCAGGCCTGCCAAGGCTGGGTCTTTCAGTCGATCGAGGATGTTTTCGCAGAACGCTGCGAGTGTTTTCTCTTGTTCCAGGAACCGCGATATTGGTTCGGAGTGCTCCATTATATTTCTTGATAAATCTAGATAATTAATGTTCAGGAAGTCGAAGTCGAACATGTGGAGAGAACAGCCGTGTGGCAGTGTTGCATTGTCTGGTTGGAGTTTGACAACTTGATCATGACAGTTCATCCGGTATACAAACTACAGTGTCCCGGTACACCTAGTTCCAACAGGCACTCATTGGGAAAGTGAAAATGATTAGTAGTTTAGCGACTTTGTTTGTCAGCTACATCGCTTCTCCGGGGTCCAATACATCCACGCCATGGCGTGGATTAATTGGCTGACTACTCGCTCGCATCACCAAAGGGTCCCAATACGTTTACCACCCATGGAGGTTTATAATCTTGCTTAGTCAGCCCAACAAAACCTACCACCCACCACCTTACCACCTTAATATCCAACTTCTTCTTGTGACAGTTAGTGCAAATCGCCTGTGGCGTGACCAAATCGCAAGTCGAATCCGCCAGTCCAGAACTTCGCAAATCGCCATATGGGATTAGGGTTTAGGAGCAGGAAGTTAGTTAGCCAATAGGAGAAAAGGCTAAGGGTTTAGCGAAGAGCGAACGCGTTGAGGAGAGCAGGCGTCCTCTGGGTATTTATTCTGAAGCTCCTTTAGAATCCTCTTGTTTCTAGCAACTTAGTATTCGCAATAAACGGCATTCTAGTCGCAAGTGCTCCTGCATGAGCTCCCTTTGCACTGCCCGTGACAATAGGTGTCATAAGCCATGTGAGCTCCAATATTGTAGCCTGCAGGCACCAAAATCGACATTTGAACCTGGCGCGCCAAGTCACGTGATTAATCTCAAAAGCATTGTGATCGACAAAGACGATCGCCCAGTCACAGGAGGGAATCCGCCGTGGGACATTAAGAGTGCATCCCATACTCCCGTCATATATAATTCTCAAAAGGCAGTGCAACTCTGAACAGGGACACTGTCTGACTACCTACACCGTTTCAGAGGCCGGGGTGATACCTTAAATTAGTCCTACTGGACCCCAATTTAGCTCCGGCTCGTCAGCGAAGCATGAACAGCGCTATAACGAGAGCCGGAATGGGCACCTAGAAGACTAAGGGGGAGCCAAAAAAGGGCCCCCAATGCTTAGTAGTGGGGATCCCGTTTTGGCTCCCGCAAGCCAGTGAAACAATGGCAATGGCAGCCAGCATGGGGGACTCGGCAGGGTTAGAAGACAAAGGGCTAAGAAGCCAATCACATATGCTTTTGGAGTACGCGGATTCCGTACAGTACAATTTAGAGCACACCGACTTTTAACACTGAACCCTAAACTATATGGGCCAACTTCTCCGACACCCAAGTGGCATAAATGTAAGTCTGCAATACTTTATTTAGACCATCTTTCTTGTCTTCAGGTTGCATCCCCTTTTCTTGCTTAATTTGGGGAAGTTAGTGTTCAGTCTAATAGAACTAGGGTTCTCTTTATCGATGGCAAAAGAGTACAAATTTGTCAAACTCGACTTCTCTGCGATCCAACTTCTTCCTCTCCTCCTCGACTATATCGGGAAGCTGTAATATCTGGCTCTCACCGAACTCCCGAGCATTTAAAGCGCCCTCGAAATCTCCCGTCAAATCCAGCACTGTGGCTAAGGCGAAGGAAGTACGTGCGCAGGCCCCGGCCTGTAATTCGCTTTGGCGTAATATCCGAAGAGCTTCGCGGAAGAAGGTGCTGTAGTTGATGGTTTCAGCATGGGCTACATGAGAAAAATTAAACACGTAGGAACTTACATAGCTAAGTCTAAATCCCCCCTCTCTCTCATGATCACCCCTATTTTGTGGTTGGTGAGACCTGTATAGTAGTGTGTCGGCATTTGGGATTGTCGAATCTTGAGACAATCGAACAATTTATCAAAGGCTTTCTCGTGTTTGCCTTGCTTGAGATATGCACTGCCGATGTTGAAGTAGTCGCTTTTAAAAAGGTCAGCAGATTTCATGTGTCGTTAAATCAACATGCTTACATGGCTGCTTTAAGACTTTGTGATCCGTGATTTTTCACAGTTAGCTCGAGGGCCTTTTTACCAACCTCTATTGCTTCGTCCAACTTCCCGACTTCCTGGTAACAGCAACAAATATTGGCAAAATAAAGATCTTTGTTATCTTCGAACGCGGTTGATGCGATCAACTCTTCGAGCAGAGGGAGGGCTTCTTCAGGACGCCCTGCTGATATCAGGGAGTTGGCAATGTTTCCGTCAGATAGCATGATCCAGAGATCATCATATATGTTCCCAGGCCGGGAAACACTTTGTCTGAGGGCTTTAGTCTTCTCGAACCAGTGTAGGCCATGATCTTTGCCATTTTTCTCATATGCTATAGCGCCCCGAGTATTGTAGAGATCAGACGTCAGCCACGCTACGTAATACTTTCCAAATCCAGGGTGTACATTTCTAGTCATAGCTTCCTCTAGTATAGAGCAAGCGCGATCAAGTATGACCTCGGCATCTCTATATTGAGCTCTCTCATAAAGGAACCTAGGGTACGTCAGATAAGCAAACAGCATCAAAGTATAGTTAGCTGAGCTTACCATGTACACCGACGCGCAATCTCACAAAGAAGTATTGGAGGGTCGAGGTTTTCTTTGTACCACAAATATTTCTCTAGCAGAGAAGAAACATGCATGTTGTAGTCTTCACAATCTCGCCACTGATTCCACAACGCGACTCCGTTAATTTGCTCGGGGAAACTGGCATTGAGCAAGAAAACCGCACGTTGGAAGCATTCTGTTTTTCTTGCTGAAGGCATGGCGTTGAGAATCGATGTCTGAACTAAGCGATGGCAAATAAGTCGGTCTTTCAATTGACTCCGCTTTATAAGAGACGCCTGCCTAAGATATGATATTGCTTGTTCTAGGCTGTCCGAGCATTTTTTTTATTAGCGATTATTCATCTGTAACAATATGAAATATGCTCACGTTGCCGGTTCCTCCAACGGACTTGACAGGAGAGCCTGTGGTATCGGCAAATTGAAATCCAAATTATAAGTTCTAAAAAAAATTAGCAAGCCATTTGACTCGTCATCAAGTTTGACTTACTTTCGCTCTCGTAGCTTGGGGTGAAATAATGGTGTGGGGACACCATCAGGGTCCAGGAATGCCACTAGATCAATGAGAAGTCGGGTACTGGAATCCATGAACTCTAGATTGAAAGTAAAGGTAGAGTTAAGAGACCTCTGGTAGGCCTGAGCATCCCAATGGAGACTGGCAGGATTCTGAAAGATGAACTTGCGATCGTATTCGCCATGTACTTCTTGAAACCTTGGAAGTGTCATGCCACGTGAAGCAGTATAGCTTCCAACCAGATCAAGAGCTAGGGGTAAATGTCCTAACGCACTTGCAACATGATCTGCCGAGGCAATATCAGCGCTGTTCGGATCGTAATCTTCTTCGGCATCTTCATAGACGATTTTGATCAAAAATTTACGGCTATCCACATTGCTGAACGGTTGAACTTCTATTTTGAATGCAGGATACAGCCGAGCAACTTCCGTATTCCGTGTCGTGACGATAATAGTCCCCTTGGCACCCTTTGGCCAGTAAGGATTCAATAAGACAGGATCTTCGACATTGTCAAAGACCAGCAACCAGCGCATAGGGCGTATAGCTAGAAACAGGTTTAGCGACCGCTAACACGGGTATGGGCTGGATTTACGAGGGGCATATGAAGCCCCCAAGAAGGGTAGGACTCGCCTTCACGACTGCTAGAATAGAGCCAATCCTTAAATATATCCCGAACCTGGGTCAATTGCTGCATATATTCACCTGCTACTCCCAATGCAAAGGCCGGAGCTGCGAAGGATTCTGCCAGCTTCAATTCTGTTTCACCAGATATCCAGAAAACTGCATTGTAACAGGCCAGATTGCGGTATGCAAATTCAAGGGCAAGTTGAGACTTACCAGAGCCTCCAATGCCATAAAGTCCACAAGCAAGGAGGGTGGAAGGGTGCTGTTGTGGTTGCAGCAGATGAGTGCTTAGGCGTTGCAGCTCGGGTTCGCGGCCGTAAAATTTGGTGTTTCGAATGTGGGGCAGATTCTGAAAGCAGTCTGGTACTGACACCATCCTTAAGGGCTTCACCAATTTCAGCAACTCTTGATGTTCGGATTTTCGTTCTGCTTGGGCAGCAATTGCCGCTTCGATGTCAACCCACGAGCGGAGGTCCTCAAGGCGGTGTAGCCTCGCCTCCGAATTCCGATGGAAAGCTCGACAGGGATATGCCGCTAGGAAGAAGTTCTCTGGGAATCATCAGCTGATCCGCCTTCTTTTTTACTCTACGAACCAAATGAGAGAGACTATCGTATATAGGTGGATAAATTTATACTTATGGCAGAGTTGCTTAGAATAGATACCAAGTCCTGGCAAAGTCCGATGAGCTCTGTATAATACTGAACCAAACCTGTTTTCAAACTCTCCGTGAGCGGTCTGGATCCATACTCTGCTAGGTACAGATGAAAACGTGGCAAACATTTCTCAAATGACTCAAACGCGTTGGCCATGAGGTCGAGTGTATGTCTATGACTAAGAGCAATCTGACGCAGTGTCAGTCAGGACTATGTGAGCAAATTGGTCTGGTAACACACCTCCAAGACGAGAGCCACTGATCCCCAGACCAGGGCGGCAAAGTTTGGGTCAGAGGAAACAAATATCTTGATAATGTTGGAAAAAGAGGTTAATTGTGCTAGGAAAGGATTGACTCGATCTAGGAGCTTCGCAAACCCCCCTGAGCTGTACCTCCGGCGATATTCCTTGGTTGTATTTAAGAGCTCACTTTGTGTAGTTATACTTCGAATACTTCGAATTTGGCTTGGCGTAAGGGATGCCAGGTAGGTGTCTTGCGCCTTGATCCAGGCGCTCTCAGTATCTCGTACCATATCCATAAGTTTTCGTGGAAGCAAGCCGGTGCTCAGTCACAGGGCTGCGGAATCCGAGGCTTGGCGTACGGCCGTCTTGGGGCGGAAACATCTACCTACCTATATTCTAAAACTTTAGTCTGCCTTGCCAACATAGCCTCCTAGAAACGCCACATTTGCCAGCAACAAGCAGCTCAACCCGATGCATTGGGCACATATAGTAGCCCAAGAGTTAGGATATAATAGGTAACATTCAATTATCATTTTACATTGCTCAACCAATATAGAACTAGTCATTATATGGATTATGGGAGTTCTAAGCCTTATTTTTACTACCCAGCGCAAGTTCACTTTCCTCTTTTTATACTAAAATTATAGTAGAGCTTAATAGTAGTTAAGAAAGAGTATATAATCAGCTAAATTAAAGTTAAGATAAGAGTAAAAGAAAAATAACTTAAATAAGAAGCTATTATAATAGTACAAATAATAATAGTTAAGTAATATGTTGTATTGCAACTGCAGGTTGATCACGTGACCACATTTACTGTATTTAGCTCCGGCAATCCGTCCTTATCTTATATTATTACAATATAACCGCATTTTACTGCAACAAATGGTAGCAATGCCTTTCGATTAGACCTCTTAATCACGTTTTCTATTAATGAACAAATCGATCCTTAGCCATCGCTATCCGTACGATAACCACCGCCTGAATCGGAGTCCTCGCCCATTACAGCGACCGGTACTGCCTTCCCGACGCTTCCCGCACCATAAACGACTTCCATATCAACCATGGCGCATATAAGCGTTGCAGTAGCCTCTCCTGCTCTCCCTGATATCGTCTTATTAGAAGGGCTTCATCTGCAGATCTCACTCAGACTTGGTCTGGGAAGCTCTCAATAGCCGCTTGGTAATGCCATTGACTTCTTCTCCAGCTCTAGCAGAGCCTATTTCATCGACTCCTTTGCCTCCCGAGAGCTTCCATTGCCCTGCTCCCCTGCGATCAAACCTCCTGCCGACGAATCGAACCCCTGCATCGACTGCTCTCCTGTCGACGAGCCTCCTTCTGTCGAAGCCGGCGTCACTCTACAGCCTGTACAGCCTGTACAGCCTTGACTGCCCCCTCTGCCGACCTCCTGCCGTCTCTGCGTGCAGACGACCCTTCTCCCCCTCTCCTGCGCTCCCTGCGCTCCCTGCGCCTCGATTATATATATATCGTGGTGTTTAGAAGAGCTTCTGGCTCCTGGTGGTGCTGTTGCTTTGGTGAACTTTAGGGACATGGATAAGGACACGGCGGAATCGCCCGATTAGGAAGGAGACACTGCCTAAAGGCGGCGAACGGCCGAGACTGCGTTTTTGGATGAATTGGCCATCGAGGATGCTAGCAGACCTCTCTTTTTAAGCGGGCATATATCCCATGGCAATTGCATGCTGGTCACGTGAGTTTACATCACGTGACCATTTCCACTATATTTAGCTCCGGCCATTTGCGCAATACCTCACTTCTCTTTCTTATCTTATATTATTATAATATAGCCGCATTTTACTATAATATAATATATAGTTTATGAATTTAAAGCTATTTTATTAAAATTATTAATTAGTAACTTTATATAAGCTTTAGATTTAATTAATAATTTAGTTTAAATAATATCGTTTAATAATAAATCCTTTATAAATAATATAAAAAAAACAGCTTATAATAAAGAAGTCATATAATTATATAAATAAAGAAAATAAAAGCTATTATAATTAGTTAAAGAAATAAAATAATAAAGTATTTTAAAAACATGCTTTTATTTTATTTTATTTAAGTATTATATAATAATTATTTATATAATTCTTATTATATTACTATTATAATTTAGACTTTATATTTTATTTTATTATTTTAAAGTTTTAATAATAAAATATATTAAAAATATATTTCTTAATCTAATATAATCTAATAAGAAAATAATATAATAGAAATAAAAATAGAAAAAGAGATTTAATTATATTAATTAAAGAAGAAAAAAAGAGATTTCAGACTTTTATAAAGCTATAATTTTACTAGTTTATATAATAGTACTATTTTCTATATATAATATTATATAACCTGTTTTTTTAAAAATTTCTTTTAGAATATTTCCTTAAATATATTAGTTTTATATTTCTGCTTTTTTAGCTTTTCTATTTCCAATTACTTTTAGTATCTTTTTAAATCTTTTAATAGCTATCCTAAATAATAGTTTTATTATTTTATTAGCAATTATTTTAGCTATAAAAATATAAGTTATCTGGGCCTTTTATATTTTTATTAAATCCCGAATAAAGTAATAGGCAATTATAAAATATTCGAAATAGTTATAAAGGTAAGGGTTTTTAGCTAGAATAATTACTTTTAAATTATTTTCTAATATATAAACCTTAACTTTATTCTTTTTAATATATTATAATTAGCCTAAATTCCTGAAAATCTATATAATCTATTACTTTTATTTTATATATATAACAAGTATTATATATTCTAACTTATAGCTTAAAATAATTACTAATTATTATTTCTTACTTAATTATAAAATTAGTTCTTTATAAAATATTATAATATATTTCCTAATACTTTTCTAATTAGATTTATTAATAGCCTAATTAGTATTAAAATAAAAAGTAAAATACTTAAACTCTTTTCTAAAACTATAATAAATTTTTTAGTTTAGTATAAATTAAAGATATTTTATTAAATTTTTAAATATATATTTGTAATATTTAATTAAATTATTTATAAATTAAACTAATTTACCAAATATAAATATAATATCCGAATAAGTTAATACTATTATAAATATAAGATATTTAATATTTTACTAGTATTTTCTAAAATAGCTACTTAGAATAACTTATAATTAAATATCGGAATAAATTTCTTTTTATAAAACTTTTATATAATTTTGAAATAATTAAGAACTATTACTAAATATTATTTTTAATTAAAATAAATAATATAATTCTTTTTATTTCTAATAACTTTATAGCCAAGAATTTTAAAGATCTTTTTTAAAGGCTTGGCCTTAAATTTATTAAATAATTAAATAAAAATCTAATTTATATTTAACTTGTTTTCTATAATAATAATATTATTAATATAATAAAAAGCTTAGTACCTCGATTTATATATATAAATACAAATTAACTAAACTTTATATAAAATTCTAATCTTTTATTTTTTTAATAAATTAGTTAATTCTAATTTCAAGTAATTTGCTTTAATTTATATAAGCTTCATAATATTTTAAATATAAATCTATTCTTAATATTTATATTTTAAAAAGGCTATAAGTAAATTTTCTTCTTTAAATTTTCTTTTTTAAATATAATTTTATAAATATATTTTTAATATTAAACTAGTAATATTTTAAGTTCTTTTTAGTTATTATTATTAGAAAAAGTCGAAGTATATTTATTTTTACTATTAAAGTAAAATCTAGTTATAGTTTTTATCTTTAATTTATATAAATTCTTATATAATTAATTATATTTTATATTATTTAATTTCTTTATTAATAATAAGTTTAATATTAAAAATCTATTTATAATTAATTAAATTAGCCTTTTCTAAAAAAAGAATTTCTTTTTAAAAGTTATTTTCTAGTAATTAAATTATTTTATTTATAATTACTTGCTTTTAAAACTTGTTATATATAAAGTTATTTATTACCTTTTTATAAAATATTAAAATTAGAATTCTAGTTTTTACTTTTATTATAAGTATATAATTAAAAATTTCTTTTATTACTAGCTAGTTATTTAATATTATTTGGTTTTTATTTTAAAAATAAATAATTATAGAATAATATTTATATAAAGTTAGTAAAATTATTATTATTTAGAAATAGGAAATATAATATTATAGTATTAATATATAATTCCTAAATCTGCTAAGCCTAATAAGGTCTAGTCTACTAGTCGAATTACTTATAGAATATAAAATTATATAACTATATTCTATATCTTATATCTTATTACTTATATCCCGTATTTTATATCCCGTAATTATATATATAACTTCTAACTTCTAACTTCTATAATATTTTTCTATTCTATATATTTATTTCCCGCCCTATTTATATTTAATCTATTTCTCTATATCTAATTATATAATATTTGTATTAATTAGGTACTTAAAGGCATTTATTGGCTTCGATTTTCCCTTAATCTATTTAATTTCTGTAATCTCTTATTATTTATATATTTAATAGAAATATATTATATTAATTATTAGATACTTTTTTCGAATAGTTCCTAATTTAAATAAAATATTTATATAATAATTTCGAATTCATATAAACTACTAGTAATAGTTCTATTTCTAGTATTATATTAATTATAAATTTAACTAAAATATTTATATTAAAGCTATAAGCCATATTATAAAGTTCTGAAGCTAAAATACTTCTAGTTACTCTTTTATATTTAGTAAAGAACTAGTAAATAATATTAGTATATCTAGTTCCGTCTACTAAAATTAGAATATATCCGATTTAGAAAGAGAAATCTCTATTATTTATAAATAAAGCATTTGTAAAAACAATTAAATATAAGGATTTCTTTATTAGCTTTACGAATTTTAGTCTCTTAATAATATTCTCAATTTGCTATTAAATATATTTATTAAATGCCTTTATATTAGTTTCTAAAGATTTAATAGCTTAAATAGTAATTAATAGGTTATATAAAGCTTCTGGTTAATAGACTAATATAATATATACTTTTTTAGTATATTAGGTAATATATTAGTTCTTAATAAAAAGATTTTAATAAATAGTATTTCTATTATTTATAATAATAGTATTTTTTATAAAAATAGTTCGGAGGTTTTTATACTAGTATTTCTATATAAGAGTAATTCCAGTAGTATTTATATAAAAAATACCTTTATTAAATTTGAGATTATAATTAAAAGTAAGATATTTATATTTTTTGGTTAAGAATTTAGCCTTTTAGAGCTTTAGTTACTTTGCCTTTATAAAATTATTAGTTTA